ATTATGATTTTACTGATTGTGTTGGACCTTCATGAACATCTTCATCATTTCACCCATATTTAGTGAACAGTTTCATTGATGAAGAAATGTCTTCACAGAGGGAGGAAGAGGAGCAACATTGGTGAGGAGGAGCAGCCGTCCTGCTGTGCTTCGTGTCAAGAGGTTCTGATGGATCCGGTCTCTACCAGCTGTGGACACTGGTTCTGCAGACGGTGCATCAGGTCCTACTGGGACCAGTCTGCTCCATCTGGACCCTCCTCCTGTCCCCAGTGTGGGAAACGACCCAGAACAGGAGCTGGACTGCTGACAGCCAATCAGAGCAGCTGTGCTCCAGGTGAGACTGAACACCTCCAATCAGAGCTTCCTTCTGTTGTCTGTTGAACCAATTCAACGTCTTTAGATGGGATTTGGAAATTCAAGGTGTTAAACGTCTTTCTGTGATCAATTATTTCAGCTAAATCTGTTTCCAGCTGTAAATGGATCGAATGTGTTCAACCAAACAACCTGCTGGGTTTGATTTAAAATGGATCTGTTTCAGTTGTTTATGCTTTAAAACTGAACATCACCTTTAGACTGGAGGTTATTTTGATTAATGAAAACAAAAAAATGGAGAAAAAAAACAACCTGCTGCTTTTACAGAAAGGGAGAAAGAAACCCTGATTTATTCTGACAGTAAATTACAGTTTATATAATTAAACATACATCATGTAGTAATTCTAACAATGTTTTTTACTTCTAAAGGGCTAAATCAGTCGCATGTTATTCTTTACAAACATCCAATTCAGTCTTTGACTCAAAATGCCGTTTTAAATGTGAAAACTACCTGATATAATGATCTGCTTCTCTGGCAGATTAAACCATTTCCTCTAGATTTCCTTCATTAAGACTGGAAATGCTGGGAGAAAACATTTTTCTATCTCTGCCTGTTTAGCTGCTGTTCATGGATGAAGGTCAGATAGAAACATCAAAATGAGGACATGATGCAGAAGAGTTGATGTTGCTTAAAGCTGCTACATTTAATGACTGTGTTTCTGTCAGCATTTATCTGATCTACTTTGTGCATCAGATCCTGACAGTGAACAGACAACGGCCACAAAACAGAAATCTGCTGTCTGACGACAGAACAATGTTCTGGTTCTGTGTATTAATTTGGTTGTTTAGCATGACATCCTGTGAAGTCAGAGACCTTATAATGATAACGCCTCCTAATGTTCCAGGTGGCTTTGTTCCAATCCAATTACAATAAATCATGTTTTTTACTTTGGTTGTCTTTTCTTCTATGTTTCAGCAGATGTTGTTCTGCAGGAGGTTCTAGAGGAACATAAGATCAGTCTAAGGAGGAGATGTGAATGTGTGACTGAAGGAAGTGATGAAACAGGAAGTAGAACCCTCCTCAACAGGATCTACACTGATCTCTATATCACAGAGGGATGGAGTGAAGAGGTTAATACCCAACATGAGGTGAAGCAGCTGGAGAGAGCTTCCCAGATCCAGAACCTCCATGACTCTCCAATCAGGTGCCAGGACATCTTTAAATCCTTCCCTGACCAACAAGAAGCCATCAGAGTGGTTCTGACCAACGGCGTCGCTGGTGTTGGAAAAACCTTCTCAGTGCAGAAGTTCACTCTGGACTGGGCAGAGGGCTTGGAGAACCAAGATGTCAGTGTGGTGGTTCTGCTTTCGTTCAGGGAGCTGAACCTGATCAGAGATGAGCACCACAGTCTTCTCTCGCTTCTCCATGTTTTCCACCCAACACTCCAGAAGCTCCCAGCAGAGCAGCTGGCTAAATGCAAACTTCTCTTCATCTTTGATGGCCTGGATGAAAACAGACTTTCTCTGGACTTCAACAGCAGTCAGCTGGTTTCTGACTTCACACAGAAATCATCAGTCAACGTTCTGCTGATAAACCTCATCAAGGGGAAGCTGCTTCCCTCGGCTCTTATCTGGATAACTACCAGACCTGCAGCGGCCAATCAGATCCCTCCTTCATGTGTTACCAGGGTAACAGAAGTACGAGGCTTCACCGATGCCCAGAAGGAGGAGTACTTCAGGAGGAGGTTCAGTGATGAAGAGCTGTCCAGCAGAATCATCTCCCACATCAAGAAATCAAAAACTCTCCACATCATGTGTGGAATCCCAGTCTTCTGCTGGATCACTGCTACGGTTCTGGAGAACATGTTGACCTCAGAGCAGAGAGGAGAGCTGCCCAAGACCATGACTGACATGTACTCACACTTCCTGCTGGTCCAGACAAAGAGGAAGAAGAACAAGTACCATGGAGGACATGAGACAAGTTCACAGGAGCTGATGGAGGCAGACAGGGAAGTTCTTCTGAAGCTGGGGAAACTGGCGTTTGAACATCTGGAGAAAGGAAACATCATGTTCTACCAAGAAGACCTGGAGCAGTGTGGTCTGGATGTCACAGAGGCCTCAGTGTACTCAGGAGTTTGTACAGAGATCTTCAAAAGAGAGAATCTGATCTTCCAGACACCAGTCTACTGCTTTGTTCATCTGACCATCCAGGAGTTTCTGGCTGCAGTCTACATGCTCCACTGTTTCACCACCAGGAACTCAGAGGTGATGAAGAAGTTCATGGGAAAAACATACAATCAAACATCTCTATATGGGTTGATGAAGAAAGTCATGGAGAAATCCCTCAGCAGTAAAAATTGCCACCTGGACCTGTTTGTCCGCTTCCTTCATGGCCTCATTCTGGAGTCCAACCAGAGACTGCTAGGAGGCCTGCTGGGTCAGACAGAGATCAATCCAAAAACCTTCCAGAGAATCATAGATAATCTGAAGAAAGAAAGAAACCTTTCATCCCCTGATAAACACATAAACATTTTCCACTGTCTGGTGGAGATGAATGATCTCTCAGCTTTTCAGGGGATCCAACAGTTCCTGAAATCAGAGAACAGATCAGAGAAACTCACTGAGATCCATTGTTCAGCGCTGGCCTTCATGCTGCAGATGTCAGAGGAAGTTCTGGATGAGTTGGACCTGGAAAAGTACAATACATCAGAGAATGGACGACTGAGACTGATTCCAGCTGTGAGGAACTGCAGAAAGGCTCGGTGAGTCCAGGACCATTTCTCAATACTCAAGTACGTTCTTGTGTTCTTGGCAAGTACAAATCTGCAAGAACAGTTGAAAGTCTTTTCTTGCCGAGTTCACAAGGATGCATCTGGCCAGAGTTCCTGTCACACAACTGGATGATTATTTTACAATAACTACTAAACACTGATTAACACATTTGTTTCCTTTATTATCATAATCAAGTATACTTTAATAAAATGCCAGCATAGAAAGAGACAAATACTGTTTTATAGGAATGTTTTAATAACAAAAAACAAGCAGATAATAAACCAATAACTCCAGGAAATTGATACTAAGACTATCTAATCCAGAGCAAATATTGCCAATATCTAATTGATGATGATTTTCAAGATGAGAAGACGGTGAAGAGGGATGGAGAGAATCTCCGGGAGCTTTTAGGAAGCTGGAAGTAAACCTGGAGCTGTAGTCTGTTCACCTGAAGAGCTGCCTGAATAAAACAATTTAGTATAAGGTCTCGCCTAAAAACCAATTAAAATGAGTTTTTGTGGCAATTAATAATGGTAAAAGTCCAATACATTTCTGTACTCACCTTCTCTATTCACCGCTACTTGTGGCGCTTTTCATTGTGGGATATCTTGCTGGCTCAAATCTGCAGAAGGATGCATCGATGCGTCCTCGATAAAATGGGCAGAGCAAGAACACATCTGGGTACTTTGAGCGACCTGTCGCGATAAACAATAAATCAATTAATCACAAGATAAATTAAAGTTATCGACCTCATTTTAATTTAACACAATCCTTACTCCCACCTCATGAACCATCCCTCATCTCTTGGAGGGGATGATTTCATGGCAGGAAAAAGCCGATGAGGATTTCAGGAGAAACTTCTAATTCTTCTTTGTCAGTTAGTCATGGCTGCAGGTCAAACAAGGGAGCAAACTACATGACTCACATGACAGTCCTTTAAGACAATTAGCAGATAAGCATTTTACCCAAGATGTCTTCAAGTCTCTTATACTATCACAGCTGCAGAAACATCTAAACATTATCTGGAAACTTCTTGAATGGAAAAACACAGAAATATAAAAATACAGCAGATATAATCTGTAAATAAATGGTAAAAAGTTTCATCAGTTCCATCAAAGACGACCAGAACAATCTGAAGATTTTTATCATGTCTGTCAAGCAGGTTGACTGTTGGACATGATCAGAACTAGAACCTGAGTTTAACCTTGAGTTTAATCCTGAACTGCAGAGATTCTGTGTCTCGTCAAACTCAGTAAATTCATCAAATGATGACTGTTTTATTTTAATCTGTTTATTTGATTTAATTAGAACTGACTTTATTTCTTTAATCACAGACTTGGTGGCTGTAATCTCTCAGAGGCTGAATGTGAAGTTGTGGCTTCAGCTCTGAAGTCCAATCCTCATCTGACTGAACTGGAAATAAGTGAGATAAACATAAATAAAGGGACAGGTGGAACCTCTGGAGTCTCTGTACGGAAGAACATTTGTGAGATTCTGGAGAATCCAGTCTGCAAAGTGAAGAGTTTGAGGTTTGTTTTCTCTACTTGTACAATAAAATCAGTCACTAAAATCTTAATACACTTTAGATTAAAAATATATATTCTGGTATTCAAAAATAACTCAAGATATCAGAATATAATTTCTAAGACTTTTGTACCTTGTAAATAAATTAGTTTTTATTTCAGACTTTCAGATTGTTTAATTTTGTTTCTCAATTTTTCTCACTATAACTGGAAAAACACATCTTGCAGAAATACAAAAACACAGCAGATATAATCCGTCAATAAATGGTAAAAGTATCAATCAAATTTTATTTGTATAGCACATTTCAAAGTGCTTTACATAATTCAAATAAAAACAGCATGACATTGAATAAATAGTGAGAAAGAGATTTTGAAAAAAGATCAAAACCATCAGTTCCATCAAAGACGACAAATGATGACATCACTTTTTTTTTTTTATCTGTTTATTTGATTTAATTAGAACTGACTTTATTTCTTCTCTCATCACAGACTTGGTGGCGGTAAACTCTCAGAGGGTGAATGTGAAATTGTGGCTTCAGCTCTGAAGTCCAACACTCATCTGATTGGACCAGAAATAAGTGAGATAGACATAAATAATAGCAGAACCCTTGGAGTCTCTGGACTGAAGAACATTTGTGAGATTCTGGAGAATCCAGTCTGCAAAGTGAACAGTTTGAGGTTTGTTTTCTCTTCTTGTACAATAAAATCATTCACTAAATTTTTTTTTCTGGTATTCAAAAACAACTTATCAAGATATCAGAATATAATTTCTAAAACTTATTTATCCTGTACATGAATTACTTTTTATTTCAGACTTTCAGATTATTGAACTTTGTTTCATTTTTTCTCACTTTAACACCTTGGACTTTGATTTTCAAATTAAATCAAAACTTTACTTTCATCTAAAGATAAACTGAGCACCAGCCTGGTTCTGGTTCTGGTCAGACCCAGTCTGATTCCTGTAGCTCAGGTTCTGTAGTGGATCCAGATGTTCTGACCTGAAGCTCCTCCAGGTTCTGGAATGGGTTCTGCTGGACAATCCTATCAGTTGTCCCTGTTGCACATCTTCCCACCACAGTTTTTCCTTCCATTCAACTTTCTATGAATAATAATTTATGAGATATGGAGGATATTTAGTTCCATTGTTCTCAGGCCCATCAGCCAAACATGTTAAGTTTCACACAGTCATCAGTCTGTCCACATGGTTGGATCCCAATAATCTGATCAGTTTCTGATGAATTTTCATTAAATGTTTAGATTACAATGGCTGCTGTTGGTTTAGGACTCAGGTCAGAGGAATATTTCACAGTTTCAGCTCTAAATGTTGAGGCTTGAATGGCGTTTTTCTGGGTTCCTCATTGGACAGACTGCAGTCTGGTTTTGGGACAGACCAGAGTCCAGACTTTGTAGATTTTCTGTCATCAGACGTTCAGAGTCTGGAAACAGCAGCAGTGATGACGGCTCAGCCTGCAGCGAATAGAAGCAGCAGGAAGTCGGAGGAACATCCAGAGAGGAAACTGACTGAGGGACGGATTCAGAGGGAAGTAGATGGAAAAGCTTTGATGCAGATCTGGGAGGTTGATGCAGCTGCAGACCTTCTCAGTGCAGCAGCAGCTGAGAACAGAAGAAACGAGGTTAGACACAGAAAGCCAGAGTCCAGTGCAGGCCCTGTGGGTTTGGGGGGCTTTGGGGGCCATTGCCCACCCACAGAGACAGCTGTGCCTCCCCTGGACTGGAAGCTGCTTGTTGTTTTTACCTCAGAGTGGCCAACTCTCTGTTATTCCTATATCGATTTGATACAGTGGGAGCTTCCGCACTTCCCATATCTGTGTCCTCTGTCACTTTTTTCATCAGTTAAAACTGTTTAATCCATTGTTAACACGTCGTAAGCTGTTTTTCCCAGGCGCCTTTAAATGCAACATGAAAGCTAAGACGCTCACGCTGGGTTTACACCTGTGCTGCAGCGAAGGAGACCTGCTGCTGTTGGTCTCCTTCCTGAACTGCTCAGATTAGAATCATGGCAGCAAAACGCAAAGAACTTTGCACAATTTTTCCCTCAAACTAACCAACTGAGTTGAGTAAAGCTGTTAGATGCAGGTAATGTTAGCTAAAAGATGACTAGCTAATAACAATA